ACCACAAGCACATTTTCAAACAAAAACAAGTTGATATAGCAAGCAACTAAGTGCCCGTAGATAACTACAGATGAAAGGGGTGCTAGCACCTTCCCTTTTCATAACCTACCCCCCGAACTCAAGAAACAATCTCTAAAGGTATTTCCTGTTCTTTTAAGTCTTTCCTTATTGGATAAAAGAAAGGTCGGGGCGAGTCTTGTTATCCGCAATAATTGCGATCAAACGCAAAACACCTAAGTCAGTTCTCCCACCGTGTTACACATAGCAACCAAAACCACTTTCAAATCTTGTGAATTGAATGAGATGCGCACTTGTGATCAATGAATCAAGGATTTGCCCAATTGAGTCAAAATTCTCCAATCAATCCTTGTACCTTTGAACCATCTTTGACAACTTGAAGTATGATGAATGATAATAGACTTTGTCATGATATTGCTTCAAAGTATCTTCAATGTTGAGGCTTGAGTCTCAATGAAGTTTTATTGAGGAAGGCATATAAATGAACCCATGAATCCATAGATCAATCTTGATGGAATGTGTTGTGCTTTCTCCTACAACATCATCAATTGAGGCAAACACTTATTGTATTCATTATTTAAAGGATAATTAAAACATAGATGATCACAAAATACAAGTCAAGGTGCTTGGTGATTCCCCATAGAGAAAAGCTAAAGATAGGGAGAAGAACCAAATCCTAGTGTGTGATCTTGTTGTGATTAAATTTATATGATGTGATAGAGGAATCTTAGGGTAAAAAATTGGGATGCAACAAACCCCTTGCTCACGAAATAAATAAGTTGTTCCACTACATTTGTTTCCTCAATGAGTTGTAAGCTCATGGCCTAGTCAGTAACTGATAAATAAAGGTAGAATGACAAACCTGCTATCGGTCGTGTCAAGATGAGAGACAACACTAAGTTTGAGAATTCCTCATCACATTCACTCGTCCATTCAAATCTCTCATTTTTCTTCAGTGTGACAAAAAAGTGGAAAGCCTTGTCACATGCACATGAAAGGAAACGAGATAAGGCGGTTATGTGCCTTATTAGATGTTGAACCTCCTTAATGTTTGAAGGACTCCTCATGTCAATGATGGCTTAACAATTTGTGAATTCACCTATATGCCTCTCTTGGTCAACATGAAGTCAAAGAATTTGACTGCTTGTACACCAAATGAGCATTTAAATGGGTTCAAGTGCATGTTGTAATTCCCGACCCTAGGATATCTTCCAATTCTGTCGTGAGATTGTCCCCTTTTGAAGTCTTTACTATCATATCATTAATATAAATCTCTAGGTTGTGCCTATCTATTTTGAGAACAATGTGTCCATAGATCTCTAATAGGTGACGTCTATGTTCTTAAGCTCAAAGGGCATGGTGTTGTAATAATAGTTTCCACGAATTGACATGAATGTTGTTTAAAACGCATCAATGAGATCAATCTTAATACAATTTTATCCATAGTGGGCATCCATGAAACTCAACATTTTGTAGCTCGAAGATCAGTCAAATTGGAGATCTATATTGAGTTGAGGGTATAAATCTTTAGGGCGTGCAATGTTAACATCAGTTAAGTCAACACATATGCGCCATTTGTTTGATGTCTTCCCAACCAACATGAATATTTTATCTTTGTTATAAAGTTGGTGTTGGTTAGCTTATGTCTTCTTAATCAATAATTGTTATTTTCTCATCACCAACCTTGCACTTCCTTTGGGATACTAGCACACCACTCTAGTATCTATGTCTGGCATGTCTTAGAGCACCCAGACGAACAAGTATATGTTCCTACTGAGGAAGGGGACCAACTCATTTTCTTCAAATTTAAATAAAGAGGTGCCTAGCTTGGTAACTTGGTGGTCCAAAAGACCAATATGGACATCTCCAAATCTTTTATTGGGGTAAGCCTTTATTAACTACCCCTAATATAGGGTCCCAAATTACTACATTGGTGTCAGGTTCTTTTAGATGAGGGGTGGCTCATAAGGCAAGAGGTTCCCCCATCCATTCCAAGATGCTCTAATAGCATTCCTAGGTGATTCCCCCCCCCCCCCCCCCCCCCTTAACTGCACCGAATCATCTATTAAGTAGCGGGTACTTGAGACTCAAATGAAGGGTGGACAAGACTGCCCTTAATAAGTTAATGGAAGGTCTTCCTAAGATGGCGTTGTAAGGAAACAAAATGCCTACCACAAGATACTTCACTTCGATCGTCTTGGCGTTTGCCTCTGAGGCAATCATCATTTTAAACGTTACGTGGCCTTTGACCTATACATGTTCGTCTGAAAGAAAGGCCAACCAGAGAACCTTGGAATGCTCTGATGTTATTGGGGTCGAGTTGAAGCCTTTGGAAGGTGCTCTATAACAAGACGTCTGCAAAGTTACCATAACTGATCAACACTTGCTTCACATCCCAATTATTATACTAAAGTGTGACGATCACTGGGTCATTATTGTGGGGAAGAACATTAATTGCATCTTCATTCAAGAAGTTTATTCTGGACTCTTCCCAGGGTTCTAACAGCACTAACATATATGATTTTTGTTATAACAACCTATCATGCATACTTTCAGTATGAGGAGCTGGATTTCCCCCATCAACGAAAACTTCAGCGATGGTGCTAACAACGATATTTGAACTTTGTTCAGACATCTTCATGAAAAGATGGTGAAAGCAACATGGAGTAACGATGAGTGTGGCCTATGTAAGTTTTACCAAGCCAGCGCACGCCAATTATACTTGCTAAAAGTATAATACATAACAACTCTTACTAATTAAGGGTTGTCATAGGCTTTAAAGTTTGTTGTAGAATTGAGAGCTTACTCACATAGGAGGTCGGATGCTTTATATGTGTGATTTTTTATGTGAGAATCATATTGTCCTCTCAGCTCGAGGGCAAAGATATTTATAGCCATATTGAATTTGGACCCTATGCCTCCTAGGAATAAAAACTGCTCTTGAGAAAGTTGGATAACTGATCTCCCGTTATATTGGAGGGTGTGGTTGGTTCCCACGACTTCCTCTTTGCTGTTGTAGACTAGAAATATGTCATCCCTACAATGACACGCTTTGAACGGTTTATGGAGGAGTTTGGCGACCTATTTGAGAAAAGGGTATCACATCCGGAAAACGGGCGACCAAGAAAAACTATGGGCGAGATGTTGAGTTCCATGCCTCTTCCTTGCCCCTTGTGGGCCCTTTTCAAATATTTTTATCACAATTCACTCCTCACGTGAAATATTTGGAACACTTAATCTCAAGTGAAGGGGTAGTAGTATATTCTAGAAATGTTGTAAGCCTAACCAATTGGCCGACTCCGAGGAATGTGAAAAGAGTTTGTGGGTTTTTTGAGAATCAGATATTATTAAAAATTTATTCGGAATTTCAACAAGATAGCCAAGCCATTAACCAAAAGGACTAAGAAGGTTGGTTCTCAATGGGTTTTGAGGCAGAGCAATATTCTAAGGCATTAAAAAGTAAATTAACTTCATCTCATGTGCTAGTGTTGCCCTGCTTTAATGAGGAATTCCTCATTGGATGTAATTCTTCAGGAGGGGGAATTGGTGTCATCCTTATGTAAAAGAAGCAATTGGTGTCTTATTTTAGTAAATCATCAGGAGGGTGAAATCTAGAATTTTTTTTACTTATTCTAACATTGTTGCATACTAGTATGTATCATGCCTCCTCAGAATATGTCAGAGGAAGAAATATATGGTAATGTCATCAGGGCTACTACAATATTTACCGATCCCATCACAGATATTGGAGGATATATTGTGGGTTTCATCATTGGGTTGCTGAAATCCAAAGGATGTGATGCTTATTCTAGTAGTAGTGGATCTTTGCCTAAGTACAGCAACGTTGTCCCTCTCAAACATCCCTAAACAGCTCGAACCATAGCAGAAACTTTTGTCAAAGAAGTGGTTCATCTACATAGGAAGAAACCTCTTGATATCAAGCCTTAAAGGTGGTTCAAAGGGACTTACTAGATCACGATGAAGCTTTGAAACAGTTGCGTGATCAATTGCTATGTGCTTAAGGGAGGATGAAACCTCGGGTTATCACGCATTGAAGGTGGTTCAAAGAGACTTACTAGATCATGATGAAGCTTTGAGACAATTGTGTGATCAGTTGCTATGTGCTTAAGAGGATGAAATCTCAAGATGATAAGAAGATATGATACAAGGTTTCTAAGGTAGGTTAACGGGTGTTTGTTAAGCTGCGAGCATCCAAGTAACAGTCGGCTGTGTCTCAAATCTGCGCAAAACTAGCTGCGTAGTCTTACAAGTTCAAACTACCCGGTATTCTAAGGTTCATCTGGTGTTCCTAACAATTTTCTCCACTTAGTTGTGATCAACAAGAGATATTCACACAAAACAAATGAATCAGATTCGTCAATCACCATTCTAACTTGTTACACCTAAGGCGCACGAAGCTAGAATCAGTAAACAGGTTGATGAGCTCAGTTTCTACAGAAAGAATATGGTTTTGTTGAAATAAAGATCATAAATTACCTTCACAACTTGTCTACGAAAAAAAAAAACTACCTTCACAATTTGTATACCCATTTTCTTTCACCACAGATTCTTTATAATCAAACAGAATGTTTCATTGTCTAGTATACAGCAAATTGTACATAAATACGAAACAACTGTACTCGAGTCTTTAAGCTGGTCTTGAAAGCAACGGAAGCACAATCTGCCTGGACCTATTATTAATACTGTAACACAAGAAAAGAATCCAATCAAGCAAAGTGAGCTTCCAAACAATAAAGATACATTATCATTCTGTCAAACCAAAAGTGCTTGATATGAATATTCCGTTCTATGTAACACAAATCAATCAGTGAGTACTGAGTACATTGATGTATTCAATGTAGTAGGCACAACTTTATCTAAACAAAGTTGCATAACCAAATGTACAGGACAGCAATAAATTATCAGATAGATCATTCACCTTACATGTAATGTAATGCCACAGACAAATTCATTGCCTAACTTTAACCCATCTGCCACTGCATCCACAAACAGAATAGACAAATCACAACATTAGTGATGTATATTCAATTAAGAATTACCACACCAAAAAAAAAGTGACATCTAGGATCAGCAAACCTTTAGAGTTGGTTCACCGGAATTTGAGTTTGCAGCCTGCTTGGCGAGTCCCTTTTGATGTGCACGTGCAGCTCGCCCTGCCGCAGAATTATCAAATTGCTCTTGCCTACAATCAAAACACACATACACATACAGTGTGATCATAAATAAAGCTTCTAAATAACCATTTGGGTATTGAAATGAAAAACCCAAATACATAAATTTTGTGGCTTTTTGACTTTTGCATGAATTGAATGATCAAGTTCATAGAATATAGTACGAGTTGCATGAATTGAATGATCAAGTTGATAGAAAAGGGAACCTTTTTTGTGCGGCTTGAGCAGCTTTAGCACGCGCTTCTTCAGAAGCTAATCTATCTTCTTCTTTTGTCATGCGCTTGTCACCGCCACCGAGGCAACCGAAGCATATACCCATTTTCGATCTTCCACTTTCTCTCTCTAAACTCTATCTCTATCTCTTCTGTTTTTTTTGTCTCTCAATTTTTATTTTGGCAAACTATTTTTTATTTACTGTTCACCTATTTATTTTATTTTATTTTTATAAAAATTATATCTTTTTGCTTTATATATTGTTTATGGAAGGTTGTGAGATTGGTGGTGCATTACAATTAATTATACGATTGGAAAAAAGGCTTTTGACATTATTTATGAGTTCCTCGTAAATTTATTGTTGGACTTTTATTTTCCTCAAATTAGTATACAAATCATAATGCATTGTATCACCTTCTCTTGTTCATTTTGTGAAATGGAAATAAAATGTCTACTTCAAACTTTCAATTATGTAATGGTCAAAGATCCAATATAAGAGTTTAATGATTTTGTTTTCGGCCACATATGTCGAAATTTGAACCAATGGACTCAACTCAATTATTATCTTTATTAGATTTAGGACATAGTTGTTTCTTCCGACAATTTCGTATTCCTAAATAACTCGTGTTGAGTATGTAAATTAATCGGATAGTACACTTTAAGTCCTTTAAAATTAGCACTTTTTTTTTTGGATCTACGTGATGAAATGTTTGCCAATTTTTTTATCAAAGTTCACTCTATCGATGTGGTTGACATATGTCCTGTAAAAACTTCGATCCGCTTCAATATGTTCGATGATATCGCCAGGCTTCCAAATGGTGATCCTCTAATACATGGATGAAAGAACACATCCTACTCCATGCAACCATTTTCTATCCAACAATAGATTGTAGTTTACCTTCGTAGGCACCACGACAAACAACGTTGGTCTTGTAATGGTTCCTAAGACCACATCGACTTGAATAACTCCTAAGGGTTTGTTGGTTTTACCCTCATAGTTGGACAAAATCATATTGTTACAGGCTAGATCTGTAGTAAACTTGTCTATTTTTTCCAAGAGGGATTGTGGCATGACAACGAGACACGCTCCACAGTCGATCGAGACCTTATTGATCCCTATGTCATTTACCTTGGCCCTAATATACAAAGGCTTCAGGTGCTGCTGCACGGCCATGTCTGGCTTTTCAAAAATGGCGTGGTTTTCATCCATTGAGTCATCATTCATTACATAGTAACACATGAGCTTATGAGTTAATAATTCTTCTTCGTTACCACCTTTTTCTTCAGTCACTTTTGTGATTGTGTCATACTTTAGTCGTAAGACAAATATCATATTGCAAATGATATCTAACTTTGATTTAGACCCTGAGTCGAAGTTGTCTGCCTCCATGTCATCATCTTCACATGTTCTTACCTTTGTCACTTTTTCCTCATTTACTGGTGACAGAGGAGAAAATAACCTTTGCTTAACAGGCCTTCGACCAGATTGGCCTTCATCAGCAGCTTGAATGCTACTCTCTTTGCTAGAACTTCCAGCCTCTCATGCAGTGATCGATAAATTAGCAAGTGTACTAATTTTTCAATGTAGTAATAATGGTAAATCTCAAAGTATCGATCTCAAGGACTGTGTATCAATATTGATTTTAATTTATGGTCCAATTAAATAAAACTTGATATGGGGTTTTGGTTGTGAAATATTCACTTAACAAATAGTAGGAATATAAAGTGATTTTTTTACAGATATGAGGAGCATGATAGGGTGTGGTGTGTAATTTTCTGTATAACGACCTTGGATCCTGATTTCTTCAACAAGTTCATAATGTTCAACTACCATCCATTTATATTATTTTTCCCTAAATCCTTAGTGAGAAAACCTTTAACCATTTATCATAAATCCTAAGTCCTTAGAGATATCTGATGAAGTCAAGCCTTTATTTTATCAAGAGTGATATGGTAACTACAGGGTATCCCTAGTCCTACGTGATATCTACTATAGTATATTCGTACAAAAACCTTAACAATTGTGGTCTAGCTGGTTGTTATTCGTGAATCAATCCTAATTAGTCCGATCAAGAAAGCATAAAAATATTGCATGATTAAATTGAATAAGAAAACAACTTTATTAAAAAACTCAAGAATTCATAATCATTACATAATCAAATCAGGGACACCCCCTAACATTGGGGGTTTAGCTACTCATATTGTTTAAAGTAATTTCAGAATAAAAATTAAACATTACACATAAATGGTGAACTTTGATCTTCGATCGCTTCCGCTCATGAAAGGTCTCTGTTCTCTAACACTTGTGTAGGCTTCAATCTTCAATCCTCCATTCTTCGTGTGGCAAAAAGTCTTTTCTCAGAAACAAACCTAAGTAGTATCAGGTCACCATCCTGCAGTACAAAAAGTCCAAAGTATCCTTAATGATCCAAGACCACATCAAACTCCAAAAATCAGAAAAATTATCGCGCATGTATCATTTAAGCTGCCAAGTATCAGGCCTGCTGAGATGGGTCGTGTCAGGTGACACGAGCACTCGTGTTGGCCCTCTGCCTTTTTCATTTAAGCTGCCAAGCATCAGGCCTACCGACACGGGTCTTGTCACGTGACACGGGCACCCGTGTCACACCCATGACTTCTCCTATTTCTGGCTTCGTCCTGGCTATCATCCTAACACAGCCCGTGTCAGGCCTCTTGTAGGTGGATTATTTGCATATCTTCCAAAACTTCGAGATTTGCATCGATTTGTCCCGATTTAATCTATTGAACCTGAAAATAACAAACTACACAACCAACACATAAAACATAGAAGATTGGAATAAAACACTTGACAAAATGAAGAAACGATAACTAAAATCAACTTGTTGTACCCCAAAATTTTCTCTCTCATATTTTCCCAAGATCTTTCTCTTACATGGTGATTACAAGCATTTGATTAAAGGAAAATTAATTTTTTTTGAAGATAAACAAGGAGTCTTCAATTGGAATTTTGATAAAGTCTTTCGAATGGCATGTTAAAAGGCCTTTCGATTGGTATTTGGACAAGATTCGATTGAAGACCTAACTTCCTCCAAGCTTGCTTCAAATTTCCAAGCTGCGGTTGAAGCCTTGGCCTGTTTCTTGTTGCATACAAGCTTCGACTGGGCATGTATTTCCTTCGAAACAGCTTCCTTCGATTCAGAAAGGAAGGTCTTCGTGTTGGTGCTCCTTCGATTGAACCTTTTGGCTTTACATGCTGGATGGATTTACAATGCAATGGCTGCCTGCATGCAAGCTTAATTCATGTTTCGTTTGAGCATTTGTTTTCTTTGGAGTAAGCTTGATTCCTGCTTCGACAAGGCAAATACTCCCTCTGTGTGTGCCTTCAGCGCACAAAGCAAGAAGCCCCTATAAGTGTGTTCAATTCACCAGCAAATGAATTTCTGCATGCCAGCTTCGTTCAAGGCAAAGTCCCCTTTCGACTTGCCTTCAGTTCACAAGGCAAAGGGCTTCTCCAGACTTTCCTTCAATTCACAAGGAAAAAGTTTCCCTCTTCATGCCTGCTTTCGTTTCACAAGCACGAGATTGACACACCAATGGTGCCTTCGAAGGACATGCCATTGGTCCATGAAGGACACATTTGTTGGAAATAAACCTTTTTTGCCTTTTGAGGAGGCTTGGTTCAAACTGCTTGCTGGGAAAGAGATTATATGCTGCTCATCCCAAGCCTCATGACGAAGGAGGCTTCGATGGGCCAGAATTAAGTCTTCGTGTGAGTTATTAGAATCAAGCATCTAAGACAAATAGAGGGGCTCAATCGAAGAAACCCCAAGGGTGAGATTTGAGTCATTCAAAGGACACACCTTGGTGGCTCATTCGAAGAGTACACAAAAGGTCCATTCAAAGGACTCAATCGAAGGAGGCAACCAAGGGTCCATTCGAAGAAACATTCAAAAGGCCCATTGGAAGGGTGCATGAGAGGTCCAGTCGAAGGATAGGAATTAGAGGCATTTGAAGGATCCAAAATGTCCACATACATTCAAATTTCAAAAAGGACAAGATTCCATGTTTTTGGCCAACGTTACAAATTCTCATTCATGGCTTTCAAATACATAATTAAGTCTGTTTAAACCTTTGCCTTCTTGTCCCATCTACCCCCTCTATATAAAGAGACCATAAGTGTAGCATCACACACGGACAAATTGCCTATAAAAAGAGAACACTCACACCACCATAGAGAGGAGAAAAAAATTCTAACTAGTTTTTTGCAGGCACCCTCAATCCAGACGAAGGTTATATTTGTGTTCCTGAGATTCTCAAGAATCTGCTCCAAGCCAAGCCACGCCCAGATTCATAAATCGAAGCATCTCCAGTTGGTAAGGATTTACCCAAGTCGAAACTGCATTTCTAAGCCTTTTAAATACAAATTGTTGGTATATATATGTTGCTAATACCATTTGTGTTTATATGAGCATATCATACGCAAGATAACATGCAGGAATAAAATCACGCCATCGAAAGGCACGACCTGATCTGCCTTTCGAAACTCATGGCATAGCCCGTTTCAAGTCAAAATAAGCTTAGGCTTGAGGACAGAAGATTCGAATTAGGGAGAAGGATATGGGTTCGATACCCAGGTCCTGCATCTTTATTTTTTGCCAACATTTGCCTTGCAGGTTCAATTCGAAGAACAACTCCCTCTTTGGATCGAAAAAGGAAACATCCCTCCTGGATCAAAAATCCCATCCCCTTCACAGAATCGAAAGGCAACATCGTTCATGAATTGAAAGGCCATGACTCTTTCTGGATCGAAGCTTCCCTTTTCTCCTTGGATCGAAGGATGCCCCTTTTATATTTCTTTTTTTTTCTTCTTTTTGTTATTTCTTTATTGATCCTTTTTATTTAAATTAACTTTAAATCAAAACCACAAAAAAAAAAAAACATTAGGCTAATGTCTTTTCTAATTAAATTAATTTTGTAAATTAATTAATTAACTATTTTAACATATTTTTTAAAATTAAAATTAAAAATATTTAGGGTTTATTTTCTTTTATACATAAAAAACAAAACAAAAAGATTTTTATTTCTTAGAATTTTTTTAGACGTTATTTTCAATTTCACGCCCGT